GTTGGATTTTTGGATTCCTGTTTTTGTTTAACATTTTTAAGTTGGATTTTTGGATACCTGTTTTTTGTTTGCCTAATCTCTCATTAAACCCTCCAAGAACCCACCTCTGCCTCTCAGCTTCTGCTTTTGGGTCCAATCTAAAACCTTTAAACCAAATCGTGACAGAAGGAACCAGCCAACATGGACCCAGCAAAACTCAGCACGGACGCTCTGAGGAGAATCTCTTCCACTCTAGTGAATGCTCTGGACTCCATATCAACTCTCAGTCCACCTTGGAAAAGGGTGAGTGCGGCTGACCAATTAAAGCCGGTCTTCCTCTCTAACTCCTCACTTCTTTCACCCCCAGTTTTATCAGAACTGTTCAAAGAGTTGGATTGGAACCGTCAAGCCGCCTTCGCCTAACTCTGCAATAAACCTCCACCACCCAAACTATCATTCCATCACTTTCCCACACTACTGTCTCTCTCCACTGATCATGTTACTCCACCATCACCAGATGTTGAACCCCCCCACTGTCATCTGCTTCCTCCAGGTGTAAGCGCAGCCGGGGAGGGAAATCCACTCCCTCTCCGGCGGGTCAACCTGACGCCTCCACCCTCCTGTTAGTTCAGCCAGCAGCAGTTATCAGTCCTCTTCCTCGCCAGATCAGTCCATCCCGTTTCCTTAGCCACCTACTAGACAAACAGTTAGCATCCTCAGTTAGGAAACTCAAATTCGGTCCACAAATCAAACCCCAAACAGTAAGGGCTCTCCGGCAGTCAGATCCCAGATCTGAACCAGTTAGTTTACCTGTTTTCCTAGCCTCTGAGCCTGCCAGCGTTCCGTTTTCCCCCGCTCCAGCACCGGTTAGCCATCCAGTACCCCTAGCTTCAGGACCCGGAAGTGATTCAGTTCCGTTAGCCACACAACCAGTTAGCATACCAGTTCCCTTAGCTTCAGAGTCCGTCAGTCATCCTGTTTCTCCTGTTTCCCTTAGTTCCAGAGCCCTGTAGTGTTTCAGCTTCCCTAGCCATAGAACCCCAGACAGTCAGAGCTCCCCACATTCAGAAATCAGACCTTTGGAATTTCTTTTATGGGGATAGAGATGATCTTTTCCCATTTGTGCTACCTCGTATCTCTCTTCCCCAGCCAGAATCAGTCAGTAAACCAGTTAGCCTAGCGTCCAAACCCATAATCAAAACAGTTAGTTTAGCGCTTGAACCCACTAGCACACCACTTAGCTTGTTGCCAGAATCAGTCTGTAAACCAGAACCCATTAGCCCAGCTTCTAAGAACCCCCAACGTAAGAGACGGCGCCGCCGTAAGCCCGCTCTAAATTGTCTAGAGACCCCTGAAACAGCTCTGAGCCGTCTTGAGTCAGCTCTG